AATTTAGGCCGAATTGTCCTTTTTCGACTAGTGTTGGCCAAAATTAACTATTATGAACAAATAATAATTTACGGTCAAATTAACGAAACTGCGCCACAATAAGTAGATTCGATTTTTATTCGAGATTCGATTTAAAATCGATTCTTATCGATTTTCGATAGTTTCGATTTTAATCGAATCTTTTCCGATCCCTACACTAACGATAATTCGCACACTCAATTTCAACAACAACAACAAAATTTTCTTGATGTAAATGGTTCATTTATCAATTTCAATAACTTTCGTGGGTAACACTTTCTGATTTAAGTAATATAACATACAGTATACTATATGCTATTCTACACATCTATTTTTCCTATCATTATACGATATTTTATTTTGATATTTTTATATAAGGAGAATTTTATAGGTTATTTATTAGCAATATTTATTATTAAGGTTAATTTTAATTTACGGTCAAATTAACGAAACTGCACCACAATAAGTAGATTCGATTTTTATTCGAGATTCGATTTAAAATCGATTCTTATCGATTTTCGATAGTTTCGATTTTAATCGAATCTTTTCCGATCCCTAACCTAGACAATACATTTTTCATTGAATATTCAAATTCTGAAGATTCTGAAGATAAAAAAGAATCTAATATTATCAATCAGTGGTCATGTCAGGGATCAGCAGGGATCGGTATGGGAAGTTGATTTAATTAAAGGTTCTACATTTATATTAATACATTTTTGTAAAACCGTTTTTTTGGTTAAATAAAAAATCTTACATAATAAAGTACACTAAAAATTTACATGTGACTTAGTGCTATTTCGAAGTTATATTATATTAAGTTTTATCATTATTGGATAAATATTGAGAAACTTTTATTAGGAGCGTATTTTTACGAAGCGAAAAATGGCCAAACTTCAATTGTATTTTAACGTAAAAGTGTTGTTTCAACGTGGTCTGTAACACTATGTTATGCAAAACGTGAAGACCTTAAGTAGATATTTTTGTCTCCTTACGGACAAAAAAGAATGTCAGTAACTTGCATCTCTACAATTTATTTTGACTATTTTTTGTCAAAGGAAATCATTAATGTCAGAACAAAAATATGAAATTTCCACACCCTTGCCTTCTATAGACTTTTTAGAAGAATACAACGATGAAATAAGCAGTAATGACGAGTTTGGACGTGAAATGTTAAATGAAACACTTGATAATACTAGTGATATACATTTTGAAGACCCTGAAAAAAAAAAGAAAAATGATTGTGAAACATTTGAACATGATGAAGTTATAGATAATTTAGAACACACTGAACTTACACCATATGTAGTTATCGATTTTATTAAGGGTGAAGTTCAACGATGTGGGGAATCAACGAAACTAAGACAATTACGAAATTTGTTTGGAACATGGCAAGTCGACAGAGATGCAATCAATGAAGTTGATGGAGTTTTAATAAGATTAGGAGTATGTAATACTCATTTCCAATTTGATAATAAGTATCTACATCAATCACGAAATAAACAATTGAAAGATTTTAATCAAGGAATTATTCAATGGAGACGATGCATTTCTTGTAATAAATATATTACTTTTTTTTCTCGGGGCGCAGGATGCACATTACATTCTTGGCATTTAAATAAACAAAATATTCAAGTTCCATGTATTGGACAGTATACATGTGAGGCGCTACGAGATTGTCTACCAGTGTGTAAACGGGCTTTTGATGACATTAATCCGTGGTAAAAAGTGTGTGTTACTGGTATTACGAAAATTTGGGTAGTCATATTCATCATCATTCTGGGAGAGGAAAAAGTGGGATAACATGTACTACATTACATGCTGATGATACAGCAAAAGGGTTAGAGTATTTGGGTAACTGGTTAATTAATATCGCACAAACAGGAAATGACAAAGAAAAAAATCAAAAAATATTAACTAAAGCTTTCGAAGCCCTTCTTCCCTTTGCCGACCTAATGTTCAGTTCCAATTCTACTATTACTACTCTTATCTCAACTACCCTAAATGAACCTCCCAGTTTGTTTATGATAAAGACTCTTTTTATTGAATTTTCTAAAAAACAAGAAATTGAAAAAAAATTAGAAATCAAAGAAAAAGAACTTGAAAAAAAAGAAATTGAAAAGAAAGAAATCGAAAAAAAATTAGAAATAGAAGATTTTGAGGCAGGTATACTCTCTTTTTCTTCATGAAAACTCACGGTAAAAAAAAGATGCGAATGAATAATTTTTTGATTGATTGATACAGGAATTTGGTTGTACATTTGGACAAAAATTATGGAATTCTTGATCATATGTCAATTCAAGAGCATCTGCCTTAGAATCTCCGCAAACTATTCAAGAATATTACGATGGGTTTCCCAAGTTTTTAAATGATTTCTTCTTTGGAGTAATTGATGAATTATATCAAAAAATGATAATAGTATGCAACTGGCAACGAAAAAAATGTCACAAGTTACCAAAAACTGTAATTTCTGAACTGATAATGAAAACTGTAACATTATTACGTCGATGTTATTAGGACTAGCTTTTCCTCATTTGAAAATTTGGTTATCTCAAGTTTTAGCTAGCCTTAGTCGTATGCCAAGATTACTGGGTTCTTTTCAACAGTTGTTAACAGTTTGTCACGTAAGTTCTCATAGTGACAGACACGAACAAAAACTTGCAAAAATCCGAATGGAAGAATCGAATCCATCAAACCGTTTAATTCGCGCTAACAATGTGTGAAATTTAGCAATCATCGATAACATCGATTTTAAAGAGAAGAGTTTCAAGTTCGGTAATATATATGATGTTACGCGTGGTAACTCACATGCCACTCTGAGAATGGCCTTTCAAGCCCAATTGCCAGTCGAAATAGAAACTAGTCCTGAACAAGTCATCGAGTTAACTCCTAATACTTCATTATTCGGGATGAATTAGAGTATTGATGAAACGTTAAATATGTTTCAAAAGGTTATTTTTGATTTGTTAGATTTCAAAGAAATTGAAGGTGAATTAATTTACAAGACAAATTTTGATGGGGAAACTATCAAGCGCGTTTTACTTACTAAATTAGACCCAGAATGTCTTGGTCCTTCTCCCAATGTTGTAATATTAGAGCCAGGAGCCAATCCGAATTCTGACGAAGAAATTTTGCATGTTTCTGAAATGTATAAGGAGGACTTTGCGATGAACAATCATTCCTTTTTAGATATCATAGCAGATGAGGCGATCTTTCGTAGGTTAATCAAATGCCGGGAGAAATGGCCAAATATAAGACCTCACTTGGGCCAATGGCACACGTTGAAGGACTTTTGTTCAGTTTTGATAGTCCTATTCTCTAGTTACGGATTATTAAATTTGGCGTCATGTTTGGGCGTTCATTTCTTGGACAAATTATAAGCTGCAGTCAATTATCGGTCAACTGCACGAGTATTGGATCTTTTATGGGTGGCAGTGGGGATAGCAATCAATATTTACATAAAAAAAATTGGAATATCACTTTCAGATATAATAGATGATGAAAATGATGCTCATGTTTGTCTCAAAGTATAGTATACCTTTATTTTATATTACCAATTAATTATATTGTATTTTATTTATTTTATTATTTATTTATAATTATGTAAAACTTACTTTATTACAATAAAAAGATATGGTACTTATACTATAAATGGGCTGGTATCTGGAAAGTGCATTGGATGGGAATGCGCATAGGAAACTTTGGTCTGCAACGAAATTCTTTATCTGCAGCGGCTTCACTTTACGCAAGTGCAGCGAAATCCAACTATACGACAGCTATAGCCCATTATCTTAGCATCATAGCGGCTCACCCTAAATTAGAAGAAAGATTAAATTATTGTGGCACCTTTAAAATTCCCCGCGATGTTAATGAAGATTCACGGCATGTTTGTTTTGGCTTTGACGAAGCTCTGAAAACGTTTGGCGTAAGGTTTATCAAACAAAATGTTTATGGAAATATAATTGATGAGAAGAACCTTAGAGATCAGATAAAGTCTTCTCAGGACGAAAGAGAAAGGATAGACCTGTTAATGAGTGAGTACCTTAATGATTATGCAGTTTCATATAGTGAACGGGCTATAAAGTCACACAAGAAATCTTTATGAGAGCTCGTGAATGACTTCATAACGGGTTTTGGAATGTCTGACCCCTTATCACACCAACTATTCCAAGAATATACACCCACAGAAATGCATAAGGAAGGGCTTAGTAGACTGTTTAATTGTTATCTAAATGGTTTAAAATGAATTAAAGCAATATACCGGCAAGAAGTTCTAAAGACAGAAGATAGAAATCCACAAGGTAGAAGGACAATAGGAGTTGTTAGAACGAAGGTGAAAGATTATAATAGTAAGAAAAAGGCTGAGAAGAGAAAAATAATGATTCCAGAACTTACACAGCCTGTAGTAAAAGATTTAAATGAAACGTCACTAACCATCGAACCACAATCCAAATGAAGAAAAATAGCAGGTGCCAGACATCGAACTACCGAAAATGAGACAGCAATTCTTTGTGCACTAAAAATATATAAAAATTACCTTCCGGAAGATGCTATTGGTTCCGTTCGTGAGAAATTGTCAGAAGTTTGGACTGTTAAAAAGGTGCGAGAGTGGTGGAATTATCATAAGAACAAGGAATTGTGAAAAATTGTAAATATTGGGCAGTGATAAATAAACAGTTTGCATTTGCAAACCGCTAAAATCAATCATTATCAGTTATTATCGTTTTTTTTATTTAGTTTGTTATAATAATATAAAGAACAAATGCAATTCCTATAGGTTAACTAGTCGATAAAATAAAAATTTGCTATTTGCCTTTAAAGTTACTATCCTAACCACCTTTTTATGTCTAAACATTTCGATTGCACTTAAAAAAATACGTGTAATCATGCACTTAATACAGAATTTGGAAATCGTATAAACTTGCATCTTGGGTTGAAATCAAAAAAAATAAGGAAAAGTTGACCATATGTAAAGTTTTTGTATAAATGTCATACTATAAAAAAAAGTGTTGGAATAGATAACCAGAAACCTCTAAATTGAAAAGTTCTTAAGGTTCTTTCGTTAATTATTTGAGCCAATATCACGTTGCATTAGACCATTCATTTTTGATTATTAGTGTTACACAAAATTTCAATTAGTGATCGACAAGTGAATCGCCTTATCCTGACATGACCACTGATTGTTATACTGAATAACGATAATGATGATAAAATAACATCAGATTTTGATAATAATTTTAATTTAAATAATTTAGAATTTGAAAAAGTTTTGATAGTTATATTGAAGATAAAATATACGATAATTTGAAATTAAAGGTTAAAGAATTTTTTTAAAAAGGGAAGTATTCATGCCATTCTTCTAATCAATCCTATTTTATGAAAATTGGTTATGAACGATTTCTTAAACGTCGAGCAGAATTTGAAAGCCTGGATAAAAATATAAAGAATATGGTTGTCAAAGGCCAACTCATGATTTTCAAAAAAAATGAAAATACTAGAAAAGTTAATGAAAGTAATAGAAAATATGTGCATTTTAATTATTGTTTTAATAATAATCTTCCAATTTGCTGTACAACATATAAAAATCTTATTGGAGCCAGTTATAAATATTTAGATACGATTATACAACATTTACGAGAACATGGCATTGAAGAACATATATATGGAAATACTGGAAGAGCTCCAAAAAATATGAATTGTATTGAAGTTAATTATGATATAGCACATTGTAACCATGGACATCGAACTTAATGAAATAGATAAATAATACACTGAACAGAAGATCACATAATAGAAAGTCACATGATTAGATATAAAGATGTTAGCCTTAATTATTTTTTAAAAAATTTGAATTACGGCTATAAGATTTTTATAGCCTTAATTAATTACAGCATATAAAATTTTGTATTATGACACTTTTTTGAATTACGGCTAACATCTTTAATTGGATAAATAATTAGCCGAAAAGGATAAACATTTAGGAAAAGAAATAATCTACATGATGTAATGTTTATTGAATGATTAATGAAGATCAGATAGATTAATTAAGAAGTTGATCAATCACGACATGATAACCAGTTTATCGAGCTCGTCAATAGGAAAATTCTGATATACTGTAATAACAGGTTTATCAAGTTTATTAATAGGAACAATTAGGACTGAGGAGTAATTATAAGCTACAAAAGATAGATTATAAGTTGGGAACATTTGATTATTTTTCTTTACAATAGAATATTTCTTTACTAGAGTTCTGAATGGATTAGGTCAGGTTAGTTTAGGTTATATCAGGTTGTCTATTTAACTTAACCTGACCTGAAATCTGAAAAATTTCAGGACTATTTTTATTAAAGTATTGAAAAAAAATGGTACAAAACTTTTTTTTTTAATATAATATTATAAAAAAAACGTTTTTGCAACGTTTTTTAATAAAACATTGAAAAAAAATATTGCAAAACATTTTTTTAATATAACATTATGAAAAAAATGTTTTCGCAATGTTATTATTGAAATATCAAAAAAAAATGGTACAAAACATTTTTTTAATATAATATTATGAAAAAAATGTTTTCACAACGTTTTTCTTAAAATATTGTGATTCAACATTTTTATATTAAAATCATATAAAAAAGTAAATCCCAATACTGCAATTCACTTTTTTTTATATAGAATTAATATAAAAAAAGTGAGTTGCGATATCACAATTCACTTTTATTATATAAAATCAAGATAAAAAAGTGAATCGCAATATTTCAACTCACTTTTATTATATAAATTAATATAAAAAAGTGAATCGCAATATCACAACTCACTTTTATTATATAAAATCAATATAAAAAAGTGAATCGCAATACCGCAACTCACTTTTTTTATATAGAATTAATATAAAAAAGTGAATCACAATATTGCAACTCACTTTTATTATATAGTAGAATCAATAGTTTCAGGTCAACAGGTCAATCAGGTCATGTCAATCTTCATACCTGACTTGAATTTCAGGTCAGGTCAGGTTAGGTTACTTGAATTTGGCTAACCTGTTCGAAGCTCTATTCTTTACGATGTAATATTTGAAAGATTATTTTTTTTTAAAGAATAACAGATGGCACATAAAAGATAGCACATAAAAGAAAGTATATTAGAAAGAAAGAACAGGTTATTTTAGTGTACTTTTATAATTTTAGGGTAGTAAAATTAAATTTCAAAATATATAAATATAGGTGGAATTCAATAGGTCAGTGGAACTCAATAAAATATTAATTATTAGAAGTTATTTTTGAATATACTTATGGTTCGCCTAAGTTTTAATTAATGTTTTATAATGATAATTATAAGATTAATAAAATATAAACTTTCGTAATGAGAATTATCGTATTTTGGAAGAAGAAACAAGGATAAAATATCATGGCAAGAGCTATCGCAGTTTGAAAGTTAAGTAGAAATAAAATCTAAATCAAGCAAAAATATATTAACGTTTCGTTGAGATTAAATATAATAAGGCGATTCCTTTTTATTTACTATCGGGTGGCAGATGGTGATGACAACGTGATGTATTTTTATTTTTAAAAAACTATTCAAACATACATGGTATGCCTTCACCTGGGCGGCATTTCAATGAATTTTCATGTCTGTTGTATTTCTTCGACCAGTTTCAGCTATTCTTCAGTATATCGTGACTATGTACAAGCTTATAAGTAAGGAAAAGCATGAACCAGAAATTCGTGTTATGGTTGAATCAACTTTTGTTAAAATCTGGAAATCCTTAATACCATCACTTCAGTTTATGTCCTCAAAATCCAATTTGTGTGAAAATTGTAAGACAATGAAAATGGACATTCAATATATTACACAACATGAAAAAAAATTGGATTTTACAGAAAATTATTTAAATCATTTAAAATGTACACAGCAAGAGCGAGATTATTACAATTCCAATATTGCATGTGCAATTAAAGATAGCAAAAATAATCCCAATCCTTCTGGATCCCAAACTTTATACAAAACCTTTAAAGAAGTCGCTCATATTGCATATGACTGGATCCAAAATGTGCAAATTCCATATTTTTCACAACAAATAGGACCTTTATTTTTTAAAAGTTCTTGAAAAGTACACATTTTTGGTATTTGTAATACCAGCAATTTTTCTCACACTCAACAGATCAATTATATAATTAATGAAAGTGAAATGCCTGATGATGGAAAACAAGGAAAGGGCGTTAAGTTTGCAATTTAAAAGTACAATTGTGGAGAAAAAAAATTAATTGTTACCTGTAATAATTGCATAGGACAAAATAAAAATAATTACATTTTATTTTTTTATTCATGGTTGATTGATCGTAATATATATGATAAAGTTGAATTGAATTTTATGATACCTGGACATACAAAGTTTATTTGTGATGGGTGTTTTAGTCTGATTAAAGTTCTCTACTGAAAAAGTAAGGTAAATACCATAGATGATATAGTTTCAATTGTTAACCGTTCTAGTACTGCAAATAGTTTTAATGTTGCTCAGCGTTATTTAAATGGAGAAGGTTTTCAATATTATAATTTTAAGAAATACTTTCAAAGATTTAAAAAATTACCTCTTATTTAAAAATATCATCATTTTTATTTTTCTTCATGGAATCCTGAGTTATCTTTTATAAAGATAGACTTGAAAATAATTACAAAAAAGCTACAGTTCGTACTTTTTCTTATTGTCCAGAGCATAGCGAAGGACTATATAATTTTACGAAGGTTGATGACAATTAGTGTCACGTGGCGATTTCTGATTATCCACACACGTCATTTCTGATTGGACCGCACAGCTACATCAAAAATAAACAAGTAAAAAAGTTTATGATTACCTTTTTTTTTTAGATTTTGGCTAGTAAGTATATTTTTCTTTTAAACGACTTTCTTATTTTTTTCCTAGGGTTTCTGGATTTCTTGTACATACCGGACTGGTGAGTTGTTTTTTATTTGTTTTGCTTTAAAGAAACGTTTTTAGCGTTTCATTTTTATTTTCTTTTATCTAGGAACACAGGTTTTTTGTACATGCCGGACTTTTAAAGGTAAATTGTAAGGGCTTTTCTTACTTGTTTAACCTTAAAGAAACGTTTCTAACGTTTCATTTTTCATTTTTATTTTTTTAGGGATGCCAGATTTTTTGTACAAATTAAATTTTTAAAGATATTTGGATTTTTGTACAAATCTTTCGCTTAGGACTTACAATGGTTTCCGTTTCCTAGTGATACTAATATTCTATCACCTATAATTAATTGTAAACCCCTTTCTTTAAAAAGACAAGAGAAATTATATAAAGAAATTGCACCCTATGTTAATATACGTGATTATTTTGCAATCTCTGGTAATAATATATTGTTTAAAATTTAAACCTTTTATTGTTTAAGGTTAATTTAATAATTTTAAATTTATTTTAGCAACTAGCACACTAATCGAAAAAGCTTTTTCTAGTAGTACTGATCTTATAAGTCAAAAAAAATGTAGTTTTTCAGCTGAAACAATCTGTGCTTGCATGTGCTTAAAATTTTGGTGGAAAATAGAATTGAAAAAATAATTTCAATTTATTTTATGTAATAAATAATTTATATAAATAAATATATAAATATAAATAAATATAAAGGAATATAAATATTAATTTTTGACATAAAATAAATAAATATAATTACATAAATAAAATGCGTAAGTTTAACCTGGATAAACTTGACTTGGTCAAGTCGATTCAAGTTCAGGTTAAAATATTTTTAAATTTAAGTCGAGTCAGATTAGATAATTTTATAATTTTAACTTAACTCAACTTGACTTGATTTTGTTGAGTCAAGTACGAGTTACCTTTTAACTTGATTCAACTCAACTCGTCCAGAACTCTATGTAGAATAAAAAACATTACTTCATTATCCTTTACCCAATGCTTAAACCTTATCAGCAAGCATATTTATAGAAGGATTTGTGGTTAAAGCAAAAATGCGAATTATAGAAGATTTATGGTATTATTGGATGCATAAAAAATAAACAAATATGTGTTTTATTTTTATAGAATTAATAATAAAAGAATATTTGAAATTTTTTTTACACTATATACTGTATATTTTATTTAGTATATATAGGTATATATTCTAATTTAAAGGATGAGTCAAGGTTAAAATTGACTTTTACAGTCAATTATATCAATTTTTCATAAAATAATCACATAACAAGAAAAAGGTCAATATCAAATGTACTCAAAGATAATTCTCAACCAATTGCTAAACTAATTAGGTTCAGCACAAGGACAAAAGTTAACTGTTTTTGTGACAAATGTGAAGGAAAATTGGTCGATTCTCGCACACAGAGAAAACATGCAAGTTCATCAAGCCAATTGTCAATTCAGGAAGATATCGAAGCTGAATCATTTCAATAAAATACAAATGATGAGTCATCTCAACAAAATACAAACGATGAGTTATATCAGTCAGCTAGGTTTAGTAGGCAACAAATTAAAGTTTCACAAAATACTGTTGATATAGAAGATATAGAAAAAAATTAAGAAACTGACGATTCTGATTTCAATTATTTATCTTGAGAACATGTATTAAGATATACTAAACTTTCAACAACTTTCACCGAACTTTTCATTAATGACTTCGAACAATCAGAAGTTACCGAATCTGATACTGGCATTGATGATAATGACGATTCAGCAAATAATGAATATTCTGAAATTTTTGAGAACTATTTATGTCCTCCATTTGAACCATCAATTAATACAAAGG